TCATTATGAATGATGTTACTCTTCTGCATTACTTTCATTGCATAAAGTGTGCCATCGTCAATGCCGCCTCTCTTAAGAACAAGGTATACCACAGCAAATCCTGTAACAACACTCGGTTATGTTCATCTTGATATATGCTCTCATATATGTAAACTCTCTATTAAAAAGATTATAATTCTGTATGAAGGTTTTGTATAATATAAATATAATACATCAGTACAATCTCTGTATAGGATACTATTCAACAAGTACTAAAAGCACATGCTGTTAGTGTGATAATTTTGTGGTTTCAAAGGATTAGAGCACATAATTTCAATCACTAAGAATAACCTTACAGGTGACAAAAATAAGATAAAATCCCACTCAACTATGTGATATTTTCATTAATATAATAATAATAATAACAACAACAACAACTTTTACTGTTATAATACTTAGATCAAAGTTTGAAGGCTTCTAATGATCAAACATTACATTGTGTTAAACTGTTCTTTTGGATTTTGTCCATGGTAAAATATTATAAAATTAAATTTCAGAAATTGGATTCTATTTTCTGAATGTGATACATGTTTAAGACTAGCTTAATCAGGAGGCCTAAAAGGCAGATTTTTGTCCCCTCTCTTTTTATGTGATAATGAAAATAGAAATCCAACTACCAAAACGGTGTAATGTCATAATATTAATACACTATTTCAAGTCTGAAGGAACAACTGAACATGTAATACTTGTACTTCGAATCTTTTCTGGATGGGTCTTTGACCCAGTAACACAAAAACCATTCACAACTTGATTACGTAGCAACTCAGTTGAAAACCCGCCATTTTGAAATTTCTCCACAAATTTTTGCAAACCTTCAATGGGCACAGTATAAATAATATTCAACAATAACAAATTTTGTTCAGCACAGTATTGTCTACACCATTTTTACTAACCCCTAATTCTGAGCTGAATGAAGTAAAATAAGAAAAATATACTTTTCACACATATTTACCAATGGTGATGATGGGATACTTTAGGATGATGTCTTCAGGTGATAGGTACCTACTCGGTTGGGTCCCTTAGATAGAGCTAGTCTCACCTGAAGACGGAGACAGAACCAGCCTCCGAAACGTTGTGGGTTTTTTAAAGAAAATACAATGGAAAAAGTCCTGATAATGAATAATTTTAAATATAATCGTTTCTATACAGTAGCAGTCATAAATGAAGTTTAATATCATTAAAGTTTCTACAGCCATGTACAAATAACTACTGCAACTGTTCCTAAAACTGAGGCTGTGCTGCACGTTTTTGCTTCCAGAGCAGATGTTGTTGCTACTGTACTATTACTACTGCTACTACTATTCTGCCCATTTATCTATAAGGGTTCAGAAAGTCTCATCAGTATTCTTTAAGCACAGAAAAACACAGATAATTGGTAAAGTATTAACAAAAAGTTGTACTTACCGCCTTCTCCTAGATGTCTGATAAAAATGAAGTCCTTTGCACTGACAAGACAGGACTCTGTTTCTTCAGCTGTAACGAAGTATCACAATAACAGACATGATCCAAAGTATCTTTAGTTTACATGCATAATTATAATAATTTACAACAGTAAACCATGCAATTTTCCCACTGAATGGAGTTTTCATTATAATTAGGGAGGAATGCCACAACATATGGTGGTCTTTGCGAAATTACAGTCAGTTCAGCTTAAAATATAATCTACATAAATATGTTTATATTATATTTAATTAAATATTTCATGTATGAAAAGTTAAAGTAACTAGCTAAGTGATGTCTGTTACAAAACATGTGGCTCTCTATACATCCAGAAAAAATACAAGTAAGCAGAGATTGCTCTTGAAACGTTGGCAGAAGATATGGTTTGAAGATTTCCGTCTTCTGGGTTGTTGCGCTGTGTAGTCTGCAACAACCCAAAAGACGGAAATCTTCATACTCACCGCTGTGAGAACCTCAAGTCTTACAAGATATGGTTTATTCACCATTCAACCACCTGACGCTGCTTGCAAACCGACAGTCTTTCATCACATTTAATCCTGTCAGCAATTACATACAAAAGTTTCTCCTTGCTTTTTGAACTAAGGTGTAATCCATGTCTGGTATCGTCATACCTATTAACGGGTATTATATCTATTAGACTAACGTGGGACTTGTAAGCAGTCTACAACACATGATCAAGCACCATATTAACAATCCTTACCCTCATATTGTCATGATGATCAAGAAGGCCAACAAGTCCAACATTTGTATTAATGGCAATATTGCTCAGACCCTTTTTAATTTGATAATTTCCATCTATATCA